TTTGTCCCTTTCTGCATAGCGAGGACCTGCTGTTCTTCTTCCAGAATTGCACCTCGTGTTTCAGTGTTTTCTCTAATCTTCTTTTTTCAGGCTTGGTTTTTCCTGAAAGGAATCTGAAGCTGTTTTTGTGCTCCCTTGGAATTTGAGACCTCTTGATTTGTAGTGTAGCTGGTGTTTCTGACCATGCTGATGGTCGTCTTCAGGGCTGACCCGCCTGGGGCAAGCAGCCTGAGCTGGCCTAAGGATTCCTCACGTGTGCTGTGCGCTGCTCTTTGAGGGCTTTTGAATCCTTTTTCGCCTTTCTTTTCATATATGGTGGGTAGCACAGCTGAAATGACATGCTCTTTCTTACGAATATCGGTTGAGACAGTAAATCCGCTGACTACATAAAGGTTATTGAAGCCTCCTATTTTGTCCTTTAGTTTTCTTTCTAATCTATAATGTATTTTTAGTCTGACTTTTCTGCTATATTAAAGTGGGCTGTTTTCCACCCTCTCTCTCAAGAGAGTTTTTGAACCTATGGACAAGTTTGAGCCAAATATGACAGAGGTCTAGGTTCTTAAAAGATACTGAGTTTCTATGAACTTAATGGAAAACTTATGGATGGAAAGAGGAGAGAGGCACCCACATGGTGTCCTGCCAAGGAGAAAGCTGTACCGCCAGCTCAGCTGTGTTCTCTGCCAGAATATTGCTTTCTCCTTATTTAAAGTGAAACCTTTGGTCAAAGCCTGCACCTTCTTAGGTGCAGGATAACCAACCACAGAGCTTCAGGAAACCAGCTTTATAACATCTCTTCCCCACAGCATTAATTGTCTTGGTATTTTACGTTTTTATTTCTGCTTGACTTTTTCTGAACTTGTGGGTGAGGAGTTTATTGGCGTTACTTTCCTTTCAGTATTTACAACAAAGCCCTTTTAGGTTTTCTCTGGTTATGGCTGTTTCCCTATAGCAGTCTTCTCTCTTAAAGCTGAACTCTATCGCTTACAGCTACTGATCTTAACCCTTCCTTTTAATTTTCTAGCCTGGAAATTTATAGTGGACAGATGACGTATAGAAACCAGATCACAACTTCCAGATTATTTTGGCAATCCTAAAGAACAATGAGGCAGAAACACAACTCTTCTTTTCCTCCTGGATTTTCTTTAACTGTCTCTTCAGCCAAAAAGATTAAACCTAGGTGAAATTTTACTCCAGTTCAGTGTGAGCTTTGGTAGGTTCAGATGTTGAGAATCACAGCACTTCCTATAGTGTTTCTGTGAGTAACACTTTCAGCTTGTGCTCATTTTACAGCAGCGGCTGCCTGTTTTTTTCCCTCTGGCCTTGGAAAATAGTCCTGGTAGGCTGGTTAAAATGTCAGGTTAGAATTTGTGTCTAAATGCAGTCACGTGCAAGGGTTTGTATGGACTCTAGGCTGGGTAGTATAGCTAATAACATTCATCTTGCATGCACTTGGAGCATGCCCGAGAAGTCTTTTAGACTTGGTGATGATGTGTGCTAAAAATTGGGTATTTCTTTCACAAAGTGGTGGCCTGCCCGCTCCATAAGAAGCCAATCTTTTGATAATTGTGGGGTGTCTTCCCAATATTCCTGTAATATGCCCAGAAGGACTGATAAAAATCATGAGGCGGTTCGATACATTAAAAAGCCAGGGGATATCCCCGTGAAGACCCGCTGGTGTACCGGAGCGAGCCCTCCACCGCACGGGAATGTGAGGACTTGAAAACATCACTAACCTAGCTTCTGATAGTCTTGGTGGTTTCGGCAAGCTCGAGCAAATCCAGAAACCCAACAAATAATTCACCATTGCTGTTTTTTTTAAACACAGCAGAAAACTTGTGTCAAAAGCAGCCTGTTCAACTCAAAGCTTTGAGAGCATGCTAGTGTGATCTATATATGGCTTCTAGAAAAGTGGCTTTATCTTTTCAAGACAAGGTTGTCTTCTCTCATGCTGTACACAACAAAGTATTTCCGGTCAGCATAATGGATGCAGTGAAATGTACTTTCTATACTGGCTGAGGTAGAAAGTAAAGTTTCTGATACTGTTCACTCTTGAGCATGACATGGTAGAGTAGCAGAAAAGTAGCTTTTGGAGTAAGTCATGTTGAAATGCCTTGGTTTTGCATGCCTTGTGAAATTGTTAAAGATATCGTGAAATACAGGAAGACAGTGCTTTGTGCACGGAAATGCTAATTTTACTGTGAGAACTGTAGTCTTCGATTTCCCTTGTGATTTCTTTTTTTTTTTTAAGAGAAGTGGTCATGTTACTTTTTAATACTCATTTTAATATAGAATGTGGTTACATTTGCTTCAGCTTTAGTTGCTTTTCAATGTACTATTCAGTCTATTTTAGTCTTAAGCTGAAAAAGTACAAAAGAGTTTTTGCTTTGGTTTTCTTAGCTTCTTTCGCTTCTAAATTACTATAAGCAAAATACATATTTAGCTGCCTGCATTGCCCCACTCACTGTGTCTGTTAAAGAATTCTAAGGACTAGTAGTAGTTTAATGACCTGCTAAACAGCGGTTCAAGGCAGGAATAATTTGTGAAAAACCAGGAGAAAATTAATCATTACTTTGCTAAAGCCTCTCTGCTGTGTCTGTATTTGGCCCAGCAAGCTAAACTGGAATCACTGAGTTGGATCCTTCCTGTGACCCCAAAAGCCATCACCTTCTTGTTCCCCTCCATGCAGTTGTGCTGGGAGGTGTTCTTGGCCAAGTGCTAGTTAAGCTTTTACTATGTGGGTTACAAAATCAACTGGCTGCTCTGTTCTCACTGGAGACGTGAGTACTCGAAGAGATTACAAAATTGTGTTTGAAAGCATGGGCACAAAAGAAATAATCCTCTGAGTATTTGCTTCACTGGCTTGATTGGTATGAAAAGAATGAAAATTCGAGGTAGTGAGGTGAGAATACAGAGTCTGCTTCCCCTCCCGGTTCCTCAAAACATGGTGAGGCTCATTTTTCCTCTGTTTCCTTGGAGTAGCATAGGTGGTAAGAGAAGTCGGAATGGTTACAGGTCCTTTTGCAGCTTCTCTTGAGCACGGCGTAACTGAACTCGCCTAAGTGGAGCTAATCTGTGCTGTGGAAACAAGCTGCTGCAGCGTTAGACAGAAAGAAGCAGATGAAGTTTTGGACTTGAAGCGTCGTGGATGTTGCTGTTAACTGGGATAAAAATTCAGACAGGTGCAAATTAGTGTGAGTTGTTTTTGAGCGCTGTGGGGGGGAACGCCATGCAAAATCTGTGTTAATATTTCTGTCGCTTAGTAACCCTGACCTCAGGGGTTATCTGAAAGGGGCTCAGAGTGGAATTTTGTTCATTTCCTGAGAGCGCTGCAGAAGCACCATCGGAGTGCCTCTTTTTCAGAAATCAAGTTAACAGAAACAGGCGTACTCATTTTGTGGGAAATATGGATAATTTTCCTGGGCAACTGGGTTTAATTTAACTGTATTCTCTGTAGGGATTGCAAGTGTGAAACGTTCCTGTAGTACCTCGTAGTGCATGTGACCTGTTTACGTGCTCCAGGGTTGTTGAGAAATAACACTTCAAGCCTTGGATAGCAGTAACTGGAGTCTGTTCCAAGTTGTCTAATTGCTGGACTGAATTTGGGCTGGTTGCAGGGAGAGCTTAGTGGGACTGATGCGTTCACTCTTTGTTTCTGAGCCCTGTTCCTTAGTCACCAGCATATAAACTTTGGTGGTGGTTTGGACCAGTTTTCCGTGATGCCCCTCGCTGAATTTGTATTGAAAATTTAATACCTCTTGAGGAAAGGAAGACCATCCTTAAAGGAATAAGAGGCAATTCTGCTGCTCTGCAGCAGCTGGGACGCGAGCGGGCAGTTTAGGTGCTTGGATGTTACGGATGCCTCCAGGTTCCTTTAACTGAGATCTGTCAAATGCTTTCCCAGATGCAGTAAGGTGGTTGAAATAGGGCACATAAAGGCACAGAAGTGTATGTGTCTGGAGGCTGGGAGGAGTTTGTGACTTCTCAGTGTGTGGGTTTAGGATAGGACCCAGATCTTTTGGTTCCAAGAGCTTTATCCACTAGTTCGGTGCTATTCAAATGGTAGCCTGTGGTCTCAGTGGACTGGCTAAATTTTGGTGGTTCTAGAGTGCCTTCTGCTCCTGCAGGGCTTACATAGTTCTCACCTTTCTGGTCACTTCAGAAATAGCCACGGTGTGCTGCTTCAGGTCCCCATGAGAGACAAGCACTTGCCAGAGCTGGAGCTGATGTGTTGCATCCATCAGAACAGACGTCACTAGAGCTTTCAGTAAACTTGGACAAAAATTGACCAGCCCCAAACTGCACAACACCTAATGACTTTTAAAAACATAATACTGAAAATGTCAAGTTTGAGCTACAGACTGTCTCCTCCTTAGAACTATCAAATTCTTTGCTGGAAGTCTTTTAACATCTCTGTTTTCACTTGCTCCCAAACACAACCCTGACTGAAATGAGTGTGCCACAACAGTAATGATGTTGCAGCAAGTTCTGTATTACTAGAAACAAGTGAGCTTATGAGGACAGATGCTCCTATTTCAGTGTCAAGTGTCCCTAGAGACAGCAGAAAAGAAAGAAAGAATTTGAGATGAAATATTGGGAAAGAAGGCTTAGGAGGAGTTGCTTCTTATTTCAGAGAATTTCAGTCCAGAATTTTGATCAGAAAGCGGTAATTGGTGACACTTAACCCAAAACATGCAAGTGCTGACATGGATGTTTTTGTAGCTTGCTGAAATTATTGCATGCTTTGCTTTGAAAAATCTACTGAAAAGAAATTCTGGAAACATTTAGTTGCCTGATGAACAAATCTGTATTTGATTCTTCTTTCAGTCTGGCTCTTTTGATGTTGCCAGAGATTAAATTAAACTATGCGATAGCGTCTTTGTTTTTGTTCCAGTCATCTAAAATTTTCTACTATAAAATTTTAATTCTCAAAAATATGCTAATGAAACTTTGACTTGACATGTATGGCTACCCATTTGACTGTCTGTTTTTTTTTCTTTCAGCTTTGCAGTGTATGGATGATTCCAAACCATGTGTTAATGAGGGAAAATGCATTCCATATCAAAATGGTACAGGATATTGCAAGTAAGTTGGTTTCATTTCTAATTAATTTAATTAACAATCTCTTTGATTCAGGATCCTAGCAAGAAAGGAGATGTGAATTGTGAAGATTTTCTTATCGCATGCATAACGGTTTTAGCACCGTTGATGTTTCTTGATAGTACATTAGTTATGTGCTAGCTTTTTGTAACGTAAAAAATCTGGAATTCTCGTTCAGATTTTTTTGGGGTTGGATCTTGTCAGGTTCATTCCTTTGCTTTAGGTTAGGAAGTGAGGCCGATGTGATCAGAGGTAAACTCTATACCTGGCTTCCAGTCTCACAAGTTAAGTTGGAACTTGCTCTCCATCTCATAGCTTGCCTTAATGCATAGAGCTTCAGCCCCAATTTGAATATGAGGTTTTTCAGAACTACTCTGAAGCATGCCAATTCCCTTCTACACGCTGGAGAGCAAGTAACATGTGGGAGCTGCAAAAAGAAACAAACAAAAACCCCCAAACAAACACCCACATATAAAGACCCAAATATTGTCTTTATCACCTAATTGATTTTGGTAAATATTGACAGCCACCTTCAATGGTGCCTTCACTTTTCTGCTGCATGGAAAGCTGATCAGCAGGAGCTTTGGTGGTGTGTGCTGTCTAGAGAATATCACATCTATTTAAATGCAGTTCATCTTTCAAACTGCAGTGTTTAGATTTTTTTTTAAGTGCTATTTTGCAAAAAGGTAAATCCTCCTTGTTTGGCAGGGTTAATTTACTATGTCTGCAGTAAATGGATTATTTTCTAAACCTTGTTTACTTCATCAGTGCAAGTTGTACTGTTTTCTAGCATGCTAAATCGCTCTTTTCATAATGCCAACATTCTTTAAATATTAGTGAATTTTGTCATGTTGATTTAGCTTGACAAACACACAGCTCTGCTCTTCACCCTTTTCTACACATCCATCTTCCCTAGCCACAACCTTTAGTTCTTTCTATTAATGTGGTGCATAAAACTCGATATACTTAAGTTACACCTGTGGCACACAAAGGGGAAATCATAATCTAATTTGAGGTTTGTCTCAGTTTCAAATCAATACCTGATGTGCAGGAAGACAAATATGTAACTTGTTATTCCCTGTTGTTTTTTTCAAATTTCTAACTAATACTGCTTCCTAGTCTTTTCCTTTCCATGGTTTTATATTGCCAGAATTTCTGTCAACAGAAACGAGCTGCCTTGCTGAAAAGAAAGCTGGAACTTTGCCCGCTTTTCACCTGTATTTTAAGACTGAAAAAAGAAATGGTGTGATGTTAGTAGGTCTTTCTAATGCGTACTTGAGCTAGTTTGTCTGGAGGCAAAGCATGTGGGTCATGATGAAGGTAATAAACAAAACTGATATTGACGTTGGTGCCGTTTTTATCTTCCTAAGGATGCTTTCTCCAACTTGCATGTTCCTCTTAACCATGTCTTAAACTGTTAAAAAAAAAAAAAATTTACTTGGTTCATCTGATTAACTTCTGCTCAGTATTTGTAGTGCACAGCCCAGATCTTGACACATTTGCCTTGTCACAGTGGCAACTTTGACTGCTCTTATGTTTTTTTAGCACGTAGTTATTTATAATTCTAATGTTGCCTTCTTCCTTTTTGTGCAAAGTCTTCTTGCAGGTCTTAAGCCAACCCTTCCTTCAAGTAACAGCTCAGTCCCTTTGCAGGTGCCAAAGTAATTGGGAAAGCTAATAGAGACCTGTATACAGAGATTATTGTGTGTTTGTTTTTTAGTTCTGGATCAAGAGCTCTTTTTTTCAGAAAGGAAGGAAAAAATAGCATAAAAAAAAAACTCAGTTGTGGAGACTCTACCTTTAGCAGACTGGCTCTTAGCATCCTGTTTTGGTTTTAACTTTTTTTTCTTTCCTGCACTATGAGGAACTCTGAATAGGGGAACTTTCTGTCTGGTGTGGTAACCTAAATGACTTATCAAATTTTTGATGGCTATAAGAGTAGAAATGTTTTGTTCAGGAAACTGAACTTATTACTAAAGCAAGTGGCTTGGCTTGTAGCTCTGCAGGATCACTCACTGATTAGCTAAATCTCCACCCCTTCCACTTTTTTCGAGTTTTCTGCAGTACTTCCTCTGCTGGGCAATAAGTTATTGTAATAGGCTCCTTTCCTCTTTCTGTACCTCCTCTCAGTCAGGTTGGTTGTTCTAGTGTGTGGTCAGTCCATCTAGTTAATCTTGCTCTCTGTAAGGAGCAAGCAAACAGCTAAGGGAGATCCTGCATCAGAGATAGTCGTATGTGATGAATAAGGCACGAGTAATGTAGGCACTGGTAAGCAGAACGTCTGGTCTAGATATTCAGCAAAGTAGCAAGTGTCACCTTAGTGCTGAAACAGCCTTCTTTGTCAGAAAAATCTTGTAGTGTCTACTCAATTAAAAGAGCTAGTTTTCTGCTAAGAAACCTTTATTTTGTTGCATCTGGCTTCTGTTATGGGAACAGCGATTGTGACCCTTGTAAGGAAATCAGAGTTGGATCTTTATCAGATTGCTCTTGTGAGTGCCCTTTAAGTAGCTCTGTTCCCCTGGTGACGCTGCTGGCCCGTGGCTGTCATTTTGTGGCACTGTTTGATAGAATTACTGACCTTCTTTGACCTTGATTTTATATTTAGAAAATTACACATTCCTGTGTTTGCATCTTCCAAGGTCAGAATTTTTGTTTGAGAGATCTTTCTACACCCATTCAGTGGCTAGCATGGTGAGGACATAGACCTTATTCCAAGGAATATGGCTGTATCTGCAGTAGCAGTATGAAGGAAACCTGTCATTCCAAGCTTTCTAGGTCCTGCTTTGAGGAAAGGCAGTTTCAGTTTGGGATTTAGCTTTGTGTTGTGCTGTGGTGGTGTTTTTTTGTTGTTGTGGTGTCGTCCCCCCAGTGTCTCCAGCTATCCTTTTGCGTATTGAGGTGTTAAGCATGAAAGGAGACTTCTTGCATACTCTCATATCCAGCAGAGAAGAAAGATAACAGTTGCTTGTTGCTTAATGCTGATTGTGAACATCACAGGAAAACTCTTTTCTCATCTCCCTGCTGCTAGATGACTGGGAAAGTAGTAGTAGGGAGAGTCTGGGGGATAGTAGTGCTAACTTGCAGTGTTTCTGTGGTTGCAGGCAGGCTAAGGAGGTGTGGGAGGGAGCTGTTTCAAGGACAAGCAGAGCAGAGATTTTTGGCAACACTACCCGCTGTGTTCTGAGCACAAGAGTCTTCTCTGCTGCCAGTGGATGGAGGACTGGGCAGTCTCTCTGTGCTTGGAGTGGGGCAGAGCCCCGAAGCAGAGAGTATCTCAGCTGATTTCCCCATGTTTGGTAGCTGTGGCCTCTCCCAACTTCCGTCCTCTGTGCCCCAGTGACAGGGAGCAGAAGCAGAAGTGAGAAGAAAGGGAGTTGGGGTAGGGGTGCTCCAAGGTTTAGGGAGGAAACTGGGCCTTGTTACTTCTTGTGCTGTGTGGGTTTTTAAGATTGGGTTTTTTTGATCTTAGGACTGTTGCACATTGTGTGTCTGGAAGGGATATAGGTACCTCCATATGAACCAAAGTACTGATTTACTAAAAAAAAAAAAATAAAAATACAGTGGCAACCATGCTTTTTACTGTGCTTAGTCGAAAGTGGAGACTACTGAAGTTCACTGATTCCAAAAGAACAGTCGTCTTCAGCACATCTTTTCGTGCCCAAAGCTGTCAGGGTCTCTGCAGCTTTGTGTGCTTCTTTAGGCAGCAGTGTCTTTCTCACCCTGTGCAGAAGTCTGTGCATGCTTTTACATTGCATGATACAGTTTCTACCTCTTATCTGCAGGGTGGCAACAGGAGGACCTCAAAGCGGCAATGGCATGGCAGTAAGGGGCTTCTATTCCAGTTCTAACACCCAGTAACTCCAGCCCCCTTGCCAGGTTTTTGACCTACCTTTCTTTCCAGCTGGATCTTCGTAAATGAATTTTAACTTAGATTTAAGACCTAGACTGCAGCACTGCTTCTGAGACTTCAGCAGATACCTTCTCAGGATCTATCTCGAGAGACTAATCGCTCCTAGACCAGTGAATGGGGAATACCCACAGGAGACCTTGTAGCAGGATGAGGTCTGAGAGTTTTCCAGAAGAGGCTAAATGCAAAAGTTGAAAAGTTTTCCCTTTCTGAGAATGGGCTGCCCTTTCCTGTTTCCTTCTGTCTCCTTTCAGAAGTTGAGACCCTTGAGACCAGGGCAAAGGAAAAAGGGGAGAGTACGCACGCTTTTAACTTCAAATCTTGGAGCAGAGTGGTGATTTGAGTCACTTGGTCAGAATTTTCTATTGTGATTTGTCTGTGCAGACCAAAAGCTGTTCAGAGCTCTGATGGTCAGAAAAAGCTGAACTAAACCTTGCCCATTCAGACTTTGGTTGCTGTTACTCCGTGATGCTGCAGAGTGGTGCACTGCAGAAGTGCTTTCTGTGGACTGGAAACAATAGCTGTGTACTGCTTTAAACGCAGAACAGAGAGGCTGTCCCATCCCATAGTTTGCATTCAAAGTATGACGCATAAATGGGAGCCTTGAGACATGGGAAGGAGCGTTTGTAAAGCTAACCAGATAATCCTGTTCTCCCTCCTGAGAGGAGGTGTAGGTGTGGGAGTCAGAACTCGGGAGCCAGAGGAAAGTCTGGTTAAAATCTGTAGCAAAATAGCCGCGACCCTTCTCACGTTAGTCATGAGACTGCATTTCCCCCCCCTCGCCCATTGAAGCATCTTCCAATCAAAGCAAAGGGAGTGTTGGGTTGGGGGGGGGAGAAGCAAGACTACGAGGAAATTCTTCGCTTCGCGTTTTAAATTAAAACCATCTGCTTCCTTCTGTGCATCTCCAGATGATATCACTGGGCCTGAATAGGAAACTCCCATGAAAATCAAACATCTGGAAGACTGGTTAAAACACTCTATAAGGTGCATTTGAAGAGACTGTCCTATGAATGTGCCCAAGCAAATATAGTATGGCAGATGAGGAGGTTTTTCCAACAGACCAGATGTATTTTCCAGAAGTCTTTAGAAAGCAAGAGAGAACTAAGTATTGGGAGGCAACTTCAATGTAGTTTTGTGGCAGAAGAGCCAGAAATGCAGCTTTTGTGAGTCTTCTACTTTCACTTTGTAGTGTTAGATTGCTAGAGTGAGTGCAGCTCTGTGAGTTTGTGGATGCTACAAATTTGGATAAATACCTTTGTTTTGTTTTTCGTGTCTCTTGTTTAGCTCCATGAGAGCCTGAGCTAAGGCAAATGCAGGCTGGAGCTGAAAAGGAGGAGGGGGGGAATGGGCTGAGCTCTGACTAAAGTATTTGTGCTGGAAAGTAGCCCAGAGAGAGTAAAGGAGAAGCTTTAATTAGAAGCAGCTGCATAGCTGATGCAGCCCACAGGACATTTTCCCATTTCAAACCCTCTAGCTTTCAGAAATCATGATTTGAATTAAGTTGTATGTGAAATTTGTTCTTAAAGGATTAAATTCCTGTTGAAGTAGGTTAAGAGACCTCATGTGCTTCCAGAAAGTGCCAGAACAAACTTCACTTTCCTGTTTCTGTTTCTGAGTGTTAGATGGAAAACTGAAGAGAAACAGTGGCTTTTATTTGGAAAAGATTGGGTTTCCTGTTCTGAGCATGTCATTTAGAGCTGACACAAGCTGCTACAATTTTAAGCTGCTCTGTAGACAAGTGGCTTTCCCCCCCCCCCCCTCCTCTCCTAAAGAGAACTTGAGACAGTAGGTTGGGATGAGAGCAGAGCAGTGGTGGTGGGAAGCTGGAGTTGCTGTTTAGGATAATCATATCCTTTAAAGACTTAGACCCTGCTTTTTCAGTGTTCGCCTCTATTTTTAGAGAAACAATGCTTTGCCCAACATGAATCAGGGGCAAATATTTGCAGTTTTGTCTACACCAATGGTTAGAACTAAATTACTGGTATTTGTGCCTAGAAATGTTGATGACAGGAGACGTGGTTGAAAATCTGGACTGTAGGTTTTTTGTTCTTTAACATTCAAAAGGAATTGCACTGAATTGCTGGAGGGGAAAACCGCGTAACTGTGTGACCAAGCACTTCTCCAGGAGGAGAACAAAATGGTGAGTGCAAGGGCTGTGTGTGCCTCACCTGCCATCTTTCCACGGGCCGGCACGTTCCCTCTGGCGTATTCTGTAAGGCTTTGTCCTTCCAAATATCAAGAGCTGAAGTTAAAAGAGCTTTTACTGTGCCCTGCTGGAGTGCTCCCTCATGTTTTTCTGATTAGCCTCAGAAGATACCAGAACAAGCCTGGTCTTGGAGTGCTCTTCAACTTTGTACCAGAAGGTTTGTGTACCAAATGCTGGGCCGTTTGTGGGTGATGGTTGTGAGTGTCGTCTCAGAGCACAGGTTTCAGCTTTCCTTTTAAATCATACCAGTGATACTCTAATCAGTGTTTAGGCTTCCCCCTCCCTGTTAGCTAGGGGCAACAGTTAAATGTACCTTCCAGTATCCCTGAATCTTGGAGGGGTGGGAGGAAGGCATATTTTGGTGGTTTATTTGCTTGTGGACAAAACATGAGATATTCCTCTAGATGTTCTAGTTTGTTTTACAGCCTTTCAAGGAAAAAACACTTTAAGACTTACAAAATAAACCAAAACACACCTAAAAGGTATTTGTTGGAGTGGTGGGTGGTGTTGGAGGACCTCTTGTTTGCCTGATGAGATGCCCAAGGTGGGGTTCTGTGAAATTCTGCTTTGCTCTTTCTTTCATGAGAGAGAGCTACAAGTATACAGCCTGTGCCTCCTGCTGTTAGTCTGCAGACCTTGGTGTACTGCTGACACCAAAGACGACTGAGCTGCCCATGTACCCCCCACCACTGGCGGTGGTGAAACCAGAAATCCCTATAACGAAATCTTGTAGGGCTTCTGGGACTGAAGTTTAATTTGACTTTGCGCATTCATCAGCTGCATGTAGATGTACAGAAACATGATTTAACTGTAGATATCCAGACAGTCTCTGAGCAGAGCTAGCCAGTGCCCCAAGTGCTGGCTTGAATGCCGTGGGAGTCGAGCAGCTCTCCAGCTTCTGGCACAGCTGCCTTTGCTGAGTGCCAGATTTCTATGTGATCGAGCTCCTACAATGCTGTGCTGTAGCCTGCTGGTGTTTGGACTGATTTCTAACCCGTATCAAGGAGGTATTTGGTATGTTAAAGGAAGCCTATAGAACTGCTGTGGTTTAGGGCCAGAATACCCCAAGATTGCCTGTTGTGTGATGTGGCAGCAGCTCACATTGACTAACAGCCTTCAGCTGTTCTACTGAGGATGGCACAAGAGGCACAGAGGATATTCTGCAAATGGTGTTGTCTCAGGATTTGCTTTCTGTAACTTTATTAATCCTACCTTGCCCTGCAGAAACTCTTCTTTCATGTCTGTTCTTGGATATGAAGTTGAAAGTATTAAAATATAGTGAAAGGAGCCTGATTTGGTTGTGGGGAATGGTAAATTACAATTATGCACGTCTATTATATGACTTTCCTGCTTTAGACATATGGCTAAAGCTAGTTAATAAATTTTAACATGAGAAAAAACAGTTGTGGTCATCTAGTAATGACTCCTTGCGTAACTCGGATAATAACCTCTCTGAATAGCTGTGTTTGAACTAGCGTGCATACTCTTTCTGAAACGGCCAATCCTGGTGTTCTTTTAAACAAGCATGAGTGATGGAGAAATTCCACTGCAACCTTAAATGCTTTGTTCCAGTTGTTTCTCTCCACTGCTGACAGACTGTATAAGTCTGTGTCTAAAGATAAAGATATTACCCTATTTCTAATTGGATTTTATCTAACTTGAACTTTTAATTGCTCAGTTTTGTTATCCCTGTACCCTCTAGATTGGAAATTATTGTTTAATCTGAGTTTCTTTGTGGGTACTTGGAGTTTTTGATTAACTGTCTCTTTCCC